CGACAAGCACTTCGAGCTCCAGCTCGGCCACCATCACGAGGGCGAAGCTGCTCTCATGTTCAGTTCTATTGGTTTCAGACGCATGAATAGCTTCTGATAGGTCGCGGCACCCGCCAGCTTCTTGTCCGATCCTTGCCAGTGGTTTAGGCTCGAGACTAGAGCCGACGCCATGTGCTTACTGAACCGCCAAGCCGCTCAGAATGGATGCCGGCCCGGAAGCTTGGGAGGAGATCAGCTGCAACTTCTTGCAGGTGTCCCTTAAGTCGGAGCTGCAGGGCTTAGATGGGGGCTTGGATGGGGGCCCTCGCTTCTGGATCGCAGTTGCCTCGCAAGCCCTGACCCTTTGCTGCTTCGCTCTCTTCCTGCTGCTTGCGCCGATCCCAGGGAACCCAGGAAGACAGAAGGAGGGGTTGCCCTTACATGTCTTGGTCCTCTTGGGCTTGACGACAGGCATGGACTTCTTCTGCACCGACCAGTACCAGCCAAGCATGCCAAAGATCTCGAGGCAGTTCGGTGTGGATCCTGAAGCCGTCGGTTCCACCATCCAGGTCCATCTCATGAGCTGTGCCCTGACAATGCTTTGTGCCGGACATTGGATCCGAAAACGCGGCATGCGGCAAATGATACTTTGGTGCCAGCTCTTCCTGGCTTCCGGTGCGCTCGGCTGCGCTTTTGCACCTTCCTTCGGCTGGTTTGTGGTTGGACGCGTCCTGCAGGGCATCTCTGCATCTTCCAGTGTCGCGGTGTCAGCCATGCTGACTGCATCCTACAGTGATCCGGAGGAGCTGAGGCGAGCCTCGAACAAAGTGGCGTGCGTCGCGCTGCTTGCACACATTGCAGGGCCTGCGACAGGTGGCCTCATTGCCTGGGCCTTCGGCAACTGGCAAGTTTCATTTCTTGCCGTCTTTGGTCTCACAGTCCTAAACACTCTGGCGAACTACCTCCTCCTGCCCGATGTCAGAGTGGATGAGGAGCCTCCGAAGGCTGATCAACCGCAAGGAGATGGTGTGCTCAGACGGCAGCTTTTGGTGCTTTTGGGGCTCAGCCTCCTGAGAGGGAGCTCCTATGTCGCTCGCATGCAGGGAGATGGCGGGAGTGAGGGCACTTGAGCCTGAACCCCGAGGCTTCCACGCCCATGAGCTGCGGTTGGGGGCTTTAGGGCTTAGGGTGTGAGGCCTGTGGGTTTAGGGCTTTGGGCTTATAGGGCTTAGGGTTTATAGGGCTTAGGGTTTATAGGCCTTCTTGACTGAAGGCCGTTTCTGGCTGTTGAGGTCTTGATGTCCGTGAATGGTTTCATCTTCGAAGGCTACTTCCTGGGAGGCATCCGCCCAGCTTCTCGGCTCCTTCCTGATGTTTAGGGTTTAGGGTTTCTTTTAGGGTTTAGGGTTTAGGGATGTTTCTGACGGTTTTTGTTGGTGGCGGTTTGAGGGTCCATACTGGTTCGAGCTCTATCATTCGGTAGACACGGCTTCTTCTCTTTTGATGCACGTCGCTGCTTCTCATGCCTATTGGGAAAGTACCACGTGCTGGCCAGATTGTATAAATACACTAGCAGCAGCGGCAGCAGCAGTGGCAGCAGTAGCAGTAGCAGTAGCAGTAGCAGTAGCAGTAGCAGTAGCAGTAGCAGTAGCAGTAGCAGCAGCAGCAGCAGCAGCAGCAGAAGCAGAAGCAGGAGCAGCAGCAGTAGCAGGACAAGTCGTAGCCGTGGTCGTACTCGTCAGTGTAGGTGCCAGCAACATTGATGCACGTATATTCTCAAAACCTCAAACTGTCACCCTAAACCCCTGAACCCTAAACCCTAAAGGCCGCTTTGATGATGTCCATCTTGGTGGCTTCAAGAGCCTTTGGCATGTTGGCATCCACCAGCTTGGGCTTCTCCCCTGTGGAGGCTTCACCTGCGAGGGTCAGGGTAGTATAGAGGTCGGAATAATTACTCCTAACCTAGTCTCTCCTTATGGTTCCAGTATAAGTATACTGCAACATACCGCGAAACCCTATTCTAATTGTTAAGGCTTTCTATCTGAATTGCGAGTCCAGAAGACCCTATCGAAGTCAGAACCGGCACCCCTTAACCCCGAAAGCCTATAGACGCTGTCGACAACGGACCCCTCTTGAAATCCCTTAGCCCTAAGAGAGGCCTTGAACCTCTTCTCGCCGCTGTTGTTGCTTGCGGCCTGCTATGCTGCGGTGGTGGGCGCTTTGATGATCAGCGATAACCCTTTGACTTACATGTCCGGCCTGGCCTTACATCAGTTCCTGGCACATGGGCCGACCTGGGCCGTTCTGGCAGAAGCCCAAAAGGATCCTGAGCTTGACGATGCGGGCCTCCCGCCCCACATCTATGCTGGCATCATGAATGCGAGTGCCTGCATGCTCTCCTTGTTTGGGCTTTCCGCCATAAGCGGCGGCCCGTCGGCGGTCCTCTACGTGATTGCCATCATGTCGGCGACGTCACAGGCCTGCATCCGTGCCGGAAGTCTCTGGGCCGCTGCAAAGCGGCTCGCACAAACAGCGTTTGAAAGCACCTCGGACTCGGACCCAAAGAAGCCTCCTCCGGATGATTGAGGGAGCACGCGGGGACTTGGAGAAAAAGAGATCCGGTGCAACTGAATACTTGCGGCGTCCAGCGCAGATCTCCTCTTAAGGCTTGGTTTATAGCGAGCCAAGGATAGAGAGATGTGGGACCGACGTGGGTGGCACCAACTATTGCTCCTTGGCAATCCTCCCCAGGAACCTGTCACACCAAATCCGCAAGAATGCCTCAGTAGCTAAGCCCGTAGTTGCGGAGGCGATGATTGGTGCAACACCGCCGGCAAGTGGGGCTGTGGAATTGCCACAGCGTCTCAATATACCTGCGACTGCGATGGCTGCAATGGATGTGGAAGGCAAGGACAAAAGCTCGAGGTCAAGTGATGTCAAGTGCATCTGAAGAGTGACACCAACAACGGTCGGCATACCAGATCGTAGGCTACTATATGTTGTATGAAATTACATTACATTACAGAACAGTCTTGTATCTTTCTAGTGTGTGCGTGTGCTTGTCTCTGTCTGCAATTCTTAAAGCTGGCAGTCCAGATGCCGAGCACATAGTGGAACCAAGGCCCGTTCACCAGCCTGCACGCTCCACATTGTTGTGTTACATTCTATACAGTCCAAGGCGGCCTCACGCCTGCTAGATGAGAAGGCAGTCGAAGGTGGAGGTCTGCTTCAAGAACAGCAAGAATTGCAATACTCCGTCTTGCTGTTGGCATGCGTACGTCATAGGTCCACAACATCAACAGGTCTTGGGTGCAACAGATCGGTGTGTGTGAGAGAGAGAGACGGAGAGCTAGAGAGACAGAGAGAGAGAGAGAGAGAGAGGGCCACAACCCTCCACCATAGTTTTGGCGAGAGAGAGAGAGAGAGAGAGAGACGGCGCGCGGGCCTGGGGGGCAACCCTCTTGCCCATAACCCTGCCGAAAGANNGAGAGAGAGAGAGGGGGAGAGAGCGAGCCGTCGGCAAGAGTAACATGCATTCACCTACCTGACTGCAGTGCCGGAACCTCGTCCACCACGTTCAAAGATACCTCGACAGCTACCTCCACAGCCAGCTCGACAGCTACCTTTACAGAGAGCTCGACAGCGACCTTCACAGATAGCTCGACAGCTACCTTTACAGAGAGCTCGACAGCGACCTTCACAGATAGTTCGTCAGCTACCTCAACAACCACCACCACCACCACTGGGTCCACGTCCTCGACCTCAATCTCAACCTCCGTCTCAATCAGCTCCACCACGACCGCGTCTCTGACGTCGTCGTCCACGATTTCCATCTCATCATCGGCCACGCTCACATCCACTGAAACATGGACGTCCTCTTCGACAGCATCTTCATCCTCAACACTATCCAGCACAACAGGCACGTGTTTTCGCAGCAAGTCTGCATGCTCGTTTAAGGCGAGTGTCAATGGATTATAAGATTCCAGCCCAAGGCCTTCATTGGATCAGGGGTTGTAAAATGTTGCAGACACCAGCTGCGAAAGTTGATGTATGTCTGGTTTGGCAGCATCAGGTTAGAATCTGCTGATTTCCTCATTTCCTCTGAGTCGTCTGCTGGTGCTCTTCTGTCATTTGCAGTGGTCGTGCTGCCGCTGCTGCTGCTGCTGCCTCCGCTGGCGCTCCTGTGGCTCTTGTTGCTGCAGTTGCTGCAGGAACAGGGTCGTCCACAAGCACGTCCGGCACGACAGTGACATCTGCTTCACGCACCACAACTTCAACCACAACTTCGGTCACCGCAACGCCATCGTCTACGCAAAGTTCATCCGCAACCTCCAGCACAAGCGTGACAGTCAGCTCAACGAGCAGAACGCAGACGGGCACCAGCTCTACCAGCGCAACCTCAAGTGGCACCACCACCGGCACTTCGGTCACGTCGACGACGCTTTCAACAACCACGTTGAGCGTCAGAAGCTGAGAAGCTCATAAGGTTTGCTGGTGTAGAATGAAGCATCAGATCCGGCACTATAGTATGATACACTATAACGTACGATAGTCTACGATAATCTACTATAATATATTAGTTAAAGTGACACAGTCTACCAGCCTTCTAGCTGAGGCCACAACGGTCGATGTCTCGGCCGCTCAGAAGCATGGTGTCTTCTTGCTAGATGTGAAAGCGCAACTTGCAGAGATGCTTACAGGGCTTATAGGGTTTATAGGGTTTAGGGTTTAGGGTTCAGGGCGTCTAGGGAGGGTTTAGGCTTTAGGGTTTGGGGTGTGGGGAGGGCTCAGGGTCGACCTTAACCCCAAAGAATTGCCTGCCTTTGCAAAGAAAGCATAGCAAGGAGCCCTGAAAAGGGTAGAGTTTGAGAGGGTCCAGGTAGGGCTTAGGGTATATTTGGAGGCTTTCGGGGTTTCGGATCCGCCCTAAACCCTAAACCCTAAACCCCAAACCCTAAACCCTAAACCCTAAACCCCAAACCCTAAACCCTAAACCCTAAACCCTGGAGGGAACTGGGAATCACCAAGGCTCTGGCGGATGCTGGGGCATGGCTCTCAGGGCTTCCAATTCGACCCGTGCGAGCGTTTCGAAGCCTAGTGCCTAGTAGTCGACTGAAAGCTATGATACATAATACAATGCACTAATATAATAATATAATATAGAGTGTACTATATTAGTACATTATATTTAAGACAGCATGCACCAATGTAATATAGAGTGTGCTATATTAGTACATCATATTTAAAACAGTACCCGACTCACGACGCCCCAAAACCCCAAAATTCTCTTAGAGTTTGCACTTGCATCTGGAGCATTTCGAGCTACAGGCTTGTCTAAAGGCCCTGCAGCTCGAGATGCTTGAGACTCAAGTCCAAACTCGAGGTCAATGCCTCCTTGGCCGCTGCGGCTTCGGCTTTGGACGGCCTGGCAGAGGAGAAGAAAGCTGTGGCCAAGAACTTGTTTCCCGGTTGAAGAAAAGATTGGTAAACAGATAGGGTTTAGGGTTTAGGGTTTAGGGTTGGCAGATGGAGTACAGCTGGCCGAGTCGGTTGACAGCTATTCAGATCAAAATGGATGAAAAGGCAAAGACGCGAAGGGACTTGCAGCCAGGAACAGCCGCGACAGGGACAAACAAATCTACAAACAGACGAAACGACGCCTTTCCGTTGGGTGTGTGTGTGTGTCTCTTAAACCCCAAGCATGCATGGGGTTTAAGGGTATACATGTGAAGACATTGGTGTGGCAGGGTGCTCTCCACGTTGTGGGCAGCGTGTCTGTTCTTGCGCAAGCTTTCCACGCAGGTTTCATCGGTTGAGTCCTATGAGCCCGTCAGTTCCTTCCTTGTGATCGTCTTACTTAGGCTCACCCCTAAACCCGAAGCCCTACAAAGAAGCCCTTCAGCCCACAAAGCCTCGAAGCTCGCCTAGGCTTGCCTCGGCTGCAGAGCTCCTCTCTAATGCGAGTGCGCCTGTTGTGGAGCAGGAAGTGGTAACTTCCAGCGGAGCTACACGGCTGAGTATAATGAAGCGCTAAGGCCCGTAGCACTGACGGTATGATGGCTGCCATTTGCCATTTACGCACCAGTATAAGTGTGCTATAACGTACTATGATATAATATAATATTCGAACTTATTCGAAGCATTCTACAATAGACTAATACCTTTCTAATGATCATGGCTCTGGGTCTGGTTCTGGTGATTGTCGCTGTGATTGGAGTTTCGCTGCCAGCATCATTTGGTTGGTATAGTCCTATCGTCATAGCAACTGCCCAGACCTTCCAATATCCCTTAAAGGCTTAAAAAGGAATATACCTTAGAATTCTTAAAGCATAGTAGGGATCCTACTATAATTTAAGGCATATTCTTTAATGAAATGATTTTGGAAGGTCAGGGTGTCCTGGTTTGATTGTGCGCATCTTTCTGGTTGGTGTTATGATTGTGATGCAGCCGTTGTTTGGGGCATTTGCCGCTGCTAGTCCCCTTATAGCAGTAAAATCCGTTATAGTATGTGAAAAAGCGTATTATATGAGATGGGGTTAGTATTTTGTTAGTATGATATTCGTATCACATTAGTGTCTTGTTAGTATGTTATATAGTGGCTGTAGTATATTACGGTATATTATCGTATGTGAATATTCTCGTAAATTATAGTATGTTCTTAGTACATTATTGTCGATATTCTTGTATGATAGCATATTGAAAAGCCCTAAACCCTGAACCCTCTACAGGTTAGAGTTTAGGCTTTAGGGTTTAGGGTTTAGGGGTTTAGGCTTTAGGGTTTAAGGGTTTAATCAGGGCTTTAGGGCTTAGGGTCATCGTCGTGCAGATATCAAGTGCACCCACCAAGGGGGGAGGGGGCGGGAGGCTTCCTCCAACAAGGAAACAAGAGCACAAAATCTGGCTCGCAGGATCCCTGCATCTTATTGGGACTTCGGAATTCCGAAAATAAGGGGGTGCCTTATTTTGGGGGTCCTTATAGTAAGGATCCTACTATTTAGGGTGCTACATTAGGGTCCCCTATTTTCGGACACCCCCTCACGTGAAACTTTGAGCAATTGCCCATTGAGGCCGTCATGAAAGTCGCTGTCTTTCAGCCGTCGGGCAACAGCACCGAAGATGTTGCCGTGTCAGGCGAAGGTGCAGACAGCCAGTTGTGCTGTTTCAGTAGTCAAAGATCGTGATCGTGATGCTACGCCCTTGCTAGGTGCATAGGTTGACGTATGCGTTTCTGCGTGCAACTATGCGTTTGCACATACAGACGCACACGCAGACACTACAGTTACGTGCTCATGCACTTGTACATATGCGTGTACATGTACCTGCACAAACGGACATGCATACATAAGTACATCACATGCACTCTTACACGCATGCATCCAAGCATCTATACATACATATATGCATACGAATATACTGAACTGACGTACATAGGTGCATGCATACGTACCGGCTTACGTACACACGCAACATACGTACACATGCACATATACACACTAGACTTTGGCGTGAAGCTTGCATGCCAGCACTGCGAGACAGACACCGCTAGTGCTGCGACAGACGTGCATATATATATATACATATACATAAACATTATATGCAAACTTACATAAACATACATATATGCATGCGTGCTTACATACCTGCATACACACAAACAAGCATATGTACATACATACATACATACATACATACATACATACAAACAAACATGCATACATACATACATACATACATACATATATACATACATACATACATACATACATACATACGTACATACATACATACGTACATACATCCATGCATGCATGCATACATACATACATACATAC